TTGAAACAAACACTATCTGGTGTTTAGGCAGTTACCTGCTTTNATGTCATTCCATAAAATGAGACGATATCCATTCGTATAATTTACCCGAGCCCTTCCCGGCTCCACTACACATGCAATGGCAATGTGTATAAAATCGAGCTTTTCTAGCTCCGACCGTTTACCATCACCCAATGCTATGCAATAAGTATCAAAATCGGGTTTTTCAAGCCCCCACCAATTGTGTTACACACCCAATGACTATTTAAAATGTCTGGGTCTTTCTAGGGGTGGGTATTTATGGACTTACACCAACAATTACCCAACCAACAAGGAATTCATGGACTTCCACCAACGGTTTTGCGTACATCGACACACTTTATGGGCTCTCCTACCAATGAAAGTGCATATTCGAACACCGGGTCTCTCACCCGAGGGATAGTCAAGCCCTATTTGCTACCCTGACCCAATTCTTTTTCATACAGCCGTGTGACTTAGCCGGATATTCAATTTAACTTTCCCAAGCCCACTCGTCAACCACCAAGTTTGGTATTTGACTAACCCATGTACTCTCCCATGCCCACGCCCTTGTCTCATGCCCAAGGATGTGATGTTCCCATGCAAATGCAATGTAATGCATTATTTCTATCTCAATGTCATGCCCACATGTAATGAATGTCATATGAGCAACTTTAACCACATGTATACATATATCATGCAAGTTATCACCAATTTCATCACAATGTCAATATGTCAATAAGCATACGTCAACATTTCATTTTCAACAATAATTCACAAGTATGTTATTTCCTCATATATATATCCCAATAACACACTTTGTTCACGAAGGCATAATTAAAACACATAGCATACCCACATAATATCAGGTTCCATGGAATTACACAAGTAATTACCACATACCAATTCCAAGCTAGGAATTTAATTTAAATTAGGTCAATTTCCCATACCCAATTCCCCAAATCAATCAATTCCATCAACTCCACATCCATAGGCAAGTGATGTATATCTTTATCAACCTACCCATTACATAAAACACCCTAGGTTGTAAAATAAATTGGAGTAGGAAGGAACCCTACCTCTTGAAGTGTAAAGAACAACCGTAGGAAGTCCCAAGAACTCGCTTCTAGCCCAAATCCCAAGCTTCTAAAAATCTCATTTTTCAACCTTTGGTGAAAATCCTCATTTTTTTGTACGTAGGCATAGCCCTTGATGAGGAGAGTAACTTTTCCTCTTGGCCCGAGTGGGTCCAAGTACTGTGGAGTCGTAGATCGTAGATAAAAGGTGAAGAAACTCTCTCTTTTCCCTCTCTTCTCTACCGGGTAATGGCTGGACAAGAGAATGGGGGACAAATCTGATTTTCCCCCTATTTATACTTCTTAACACTTGGCCCACAATCTGTCACACGGTCCTCTTTTTCTTGGGTCAATTTCTACCCCGAAATGATTAAATTTTGTCTCAGTTTAAGTTCAAAATTTTTTAATTTTAACTTACCTTAAATAATTTTCCAAAATTTGAAATTTTATTAAAAATTTTATTTTTGGGGTTACCCGAGACTCGACTACCTCGTAAAACGTAAAAAATCTGACTATCTCAAAATTCGATGAAATTTGACTGGGTAACTAGATTTCGTGAGGCAAATCCAATGATGAGGTCTGTTTTATCATTCAAGATCTAGAAAAATTCAGGTTTATAACCCGTACTTTAGCAATAATTTACCGTTTTGCTCTTTTTTTTGTAAAAAGTTTAAATTTACTGGGTTTTACACTCACTTTGGCCTTTAAGGCTCTTCTCTTCTCCTTAGGCATGTCCGTATTCTTCGCACTAGGAAAATCTGTAGCTAAGTGTCCAAGCCCATAACACTCGTAGCATTGGAGACATTGCCCCTTCTTCTCAACCTCTTGTCAAGAAGATCTACCCCCACTTTATTTACCTTTTCTAAGAGATCTAGGTGTATTTGGGTTTCCTTTTGGCCTTGAGGACTTAACACCACTAGCCTTGAAATAGTTTTTGAATTTTCGAGCAAGATAGGCTGTGTAATTTTCTCCTAACGGGGTGAATTGTATTTGCCTCCTTCTTGAATTTTAGAATTTAATGCAACACCCTCCACTTTTTTGTGTGGAAGAAAGTTCATCTCAAAATTCAAAATCAACCCAAAAAGGTCTTCGACCGACACCATGGACATGTTGACAATCATCTTGAGCGAGGTTACTTTAGCATAAAATATCTCTAGTAGAGATCTCAAGATTTTTCACTTAATCGTAGCATTGTCGATTTTGTTACCTAAGGCAAAGGAAGTGTTAACAATATCACATAACTTGGCATAAAAATCACCAAAATTTTATTCCTCTTACATTCTCAACATCTCAAATTGTGAGGTGTACCTTTGGAGATGAGACATCTTGACCATTATAGTTCTTTCATGTGAAATCACAAGAATATCCCATGCCTCCTTTAAAGTCTCACAATTAGCGATCCTTCAAAACTCTTTCAATGTCACAACATTGAATATCACATTCAAGCCTTTTGAGTTCCACCACCCTGATTCAATCTCAGTCTTCAACCAAGTTGTTGGGGATTTTACTTCAACCACCTCTTCACAACCTTCAACTTTAATTACAATGTCTTTCTTTATTGTTATTGCTTTTATTTTCAATATGAGTGAGTAGTTTCATAATCGGGATATCGGAGGATGGATTCTCATCAATTAGGGGGTGATTTTGATCTAACCAAGGTTTTAAAGTTAAAGTTGATTCATTGATTTTAATTAATTGATTTGTAAAACTTTATTGATTTGTAAATATATTTGATTAGCCATAGACAATTGGTTTTTGTATGGTTAATTCTTAGAGACCTTGACCTTTGCTTAACCATAGACAATTGGTTTTGGCATGATTAATTCTTAGAGTCTACAATCAATGTGATATAAATTCTTTCATAAATTAATTTTATCATTGAACTACATCTTCTCTAAATTGTGATTCTGTGTTGAATATCATCACTCTAAGTGAATTTGATTACAATCTTGGATGAGTAATAAATTATGTTTAAATTATTATTCATGGTGAGATGAAACCCTACGATTATCTGGTTTAATTTAATATCCTTTATTTAAATTTATTATTTCTCAAATTCTAAATATTTTTACTTTTAGTTTTATATTACCTATTGAATTTGTCCAAAGTTTTTCCTGAGGAGATGACCTCGGTAATCAACTAAGTTACTACAAGATACACTTCCTACTCTTGAGAACAACATTTATATTTTACCACTTTGAGGGTCAAGCATTTTTGGCGTCGTTGCCATGGATGGCAAGCTACAATTTGAAGGTGATTTGGATTAACGACAAGTAAGTCTTGTGATTTTCATCACAAGCTCATGTATGTTTCTCCATTGCTAATTATTTGTATGTTTTCCTTTAGTTTAGATTTTTATTTTTGTTAAATTTAAGTTGTTGCATGTGGGCATGTGATCAGTTGAATGATAGACTTTTTAGATGTTGCCTAAGACCTAATTTAGATATGGACAGATTGAATAATGATGACTCACAAGAGTAGAGGAATATAGAAAATAAATTTTCACTCGTTCCTCCGCTAACTTCGANCAGTTGAATGATAGACTTTTTAGATGTTGCCTAAGACCTAATTTAGATATGGATAGATTGAATAATGATGACCCACAAGAGTAGAGGAATATAGAAAATAAATTTTCACTCGTTCCTCCGCTAACTTCGAGGAATGATGTAAATAATCTCCCAACTGTTCCTACTATGTGAACAATGAGAGAATATTTATAACCCACACGAACCTCTGCATTGTCTTGCATACAATTGTTAGTGTTGTCGCATGCTTTTATAGTAAAACCTAGAAAGCTTCCACTACTCCCCTAATTTCATAGTGTGGATAGGAAATTTTCATATCTTCATATCAAGGAGTTTGAGGAAGTGGTTAGTACATTCCTTAAGGTAAATGAGTGAGAAGAGGTTGCACGAATGAAACTATTCCCACTTTCACTTTAAGGAAAAGTCTTGGCTAAACTCTTTGGAACTCCGTACAATTACTACATGGTATGATTTACAAAAGGAGTTTTTAAATAAATTTTTTCCAAGTCATAAAACTACAGCTTTGAAGAAGCAAATTCATTTTGTTTCTAAAAAATCCAATGAATAGTTCTATGACTCCCAGGAAAGATTTAAAGATTTTTTAAACTCTATTCCACACCATGGCTTTGAACTGTGGTAGCTAGTTAGTTTCTTCTATGAAGGAACTATCCATATACATTGCCAGTTCATTAACATGATGTATAATGTTGAATTTTTGAATAAAGAGCCTAAGGAAGCTCTAGATTACTTTGATAAACTCAGTAGAGAATGCCCAATCATGGGATATATCTGATCCTATTGAGAGATGAAAGTAATCTATTGCATCCCAACAAATAGGGGGTGAAAATTTTATTTTAAGCGATCAAGATTAGTCATTACCCAAGATCATGCATCTGTCATAGAAAGTGGAGGGTTTAGTGGTGAAGAAAGTGAATAAGGTAACCTGTATGTAATGCCCCAATTCGAGGGTACAAACATCTATCATGACTGGATAAATATAAACAGAAAACCCAAATTCTTAAGACAAAACCCTGTTTCCTGCTTGCACTATAATATCTTAGCCTGGCCAAATCCAATTTCAGGCAATGATGTAAATAATCTCCCAACTGTTTACGCTATGTGAATAATGATAGAATATTTATAACCCAAACGAATATATGCACCGTCTTGCATATAGTTGCTGGTGCAAGCACATGTTTTTATAGTAAAACCTGGAATGTTGCATCTATTCTAGCAATTCCGTGGTGTGGATAGGGAAAACCCCTATCTCCATATCAAGGAGTTTGAGGATGTGGTTAGTACATTGCTTAAGCAAAATGTGTGAAAAAAAGGTTGTGTGAGTGAAACTATTCCCATGAATTCAAAGAAAGAGCTAAAAATTAAGTTTGTTGGTAAGCCTACTATGAAGACGTGTCAAGGCTCCAAGGACTTTAGAGAAGAGGTTCTTGTATATTATGTGGATGATTTTGAAAACTTTAGGAAGCGCGCCAAGAATGAGTACCCCAGCCTAGATTTTTTCAAGTTTGTTTTAGGGAAGGATCTGGCAACTGTTGTTAGAAAGGATCAAAAGGAGGAAGGTGGAGAAGAGGTGGGCNCTTTAGGAAGCGCGCCAAGAATGAGTACCCCAGCCTAGATTTTTTCAAGTTTGTTTTAGGGAATGATCTGGCAACTGTTGTTAGAAAGGATCAAAAGGAGGAAGGTGGAGAAGAGGTGGGCAGCAATCCCCTAAGGATAAGGGGAAAGAAATAGTTAAGGGGAAAACCGATCTGGAAAAGGAGACTATGGGGGATACTGCTGACAAAGCTGAGGAGGGGAAGGCTGATCAAGTAGCCAAGGAGACCATGGAAGGCGCTGATCAAGCCAAGGAGACCTAGTAGGGTTACATGCCTTTTTTTGTCTAATAACTTTGTACTATATTCCTTCTTTGTAATGAAGTGTCCAATTTTTTTATGAATAAATTTTCTTATGTNACCATGGAAGGCGCTGATCAAGCCAAGGAGACCTAGTAGGGTTGCAGGCCTTTTTTTGTCTAATAACTTTGTATTATATTCCTTCTTTGTAATGAAGTGTCCAATTTTTTTATGAATAAATTTTCTTATGTATTTGTGCTACTTTTATATTGTGTTTGTTTCACCTTTTTGTGCGTAACCTCCTAGAATAGCTCTGGCTTGCTGTAAAGTCTTTGGTGTAGTTCAAGCTAGGCTAAGTGCCTTACATCACTATTGAGTCTCTTGGGATTAATCCAAGCTAGGTTGAGTATCTTATGCTTCTGTTGAGTCTCTTAGACTCAATCCAAGCTAGGCGATGTGCCTTGTGCCTATGTTGAGTCTCTTGGACTCAATCCGAGCTAGGCTGAGTGTCTTGTGCTTCTGTTGAGTCTCTTGGACTCAATCTGAGCTAGGCCAAGCTAACAACTAAAGAGCCCATCATTATAGTGGGGCTTAGTACATATGAGTTTTTTTCTTTATGATTCTGAAAGGACATGTATTTGATGTGGATGGCGCTCAGACTTGCAAGTCATTTCATTCCCACAATGCCTTGAACTTGGAGCTTTAAGTGCATTTCATGTACGTCCATCGTGTTGATTTCCCCTTATAAAAGTGAATTGTCACTCAAGAGTTTCTATTTAAACCCTCTCTTCTATGAAATATCATGCACCTTGCTTGATCCCAAATGGTGCACCCAAGTGCAGGTGGTCAAGAAGTAGTAATAATTAGGTAAGTCTGAGGTCAATCCATAGGAAGATTGGAACACAAGAAAGGTGAAATAAAAGAAGCCGAATCGAAAGAATTGATTGTTAGTGATTGGTATCCCATTGAAAAGGAATTTAACAAATGAAAAGAATACTTCCTAGCATTAGGATAAGGGAATAATCTTATGTACTAAATATTATATTCATGCAACTAGTCATTATCTCAGCTGACGTCCAATGTTAGTTTGATCAATGAAGTATTTTACCTTAAAGAAAAAAATTTGATTAAATTGAAAATAATCAATAAAGAACTAGTTTTTTAGACTCGCAATGAATTTTGAGTCCGAACGATTGCACATGTCCTAACGAAGGCACACTATATCGTCAAATGAGCGTCTGCATGCACAACTTTGTCTGAACACCTTAAAATATCTGGAATTGTTTTTGAAGCACTTTCATCCGGATAGTAGTAGCATCCTGACGATCAATCACCATATCAATTTTTTAACTTAACCAATTTTTCGTCTTCAAAACTTCCTNCTGTTTTTGAAGCACTTTCATTCGGATAGTAGTAGCATCCTGATGATCAATCACCATATCAATTTTTTAACTTAACCAATTTTTCGTCTTCAAAACTTCCTTACTCACGTCCAGATGGCGTAGTTTCATTTGGACACACCTACATTTGCAGTCGGGGTCCACTTTANCTCAACCCTAGCCAAATTTTCAATCTCTTTTTTTTTTTAATGTTCTTCATTTCACAAAGCACATATATTTTTCTCTTTCTCAGCNCTTACTCACGTCCAGATGGCGTAGTTTCATTTGGACACACCTACATTTGCAGTCGGGGTCCACTTTAGTCAACTATTTGACTTTCTAAAATATCAGTTTAATCCCTTTGGTTTCCATGCAGTCTGTTATTGTTCCAATCAATTTATCAAGTGTTAGAAATAGGCTCAACCTACCTGTTTTACCTGATTAATCACTCAAACAAAAAAATACAATCAAAGCATAAAATCAATAGGATAAACAATAATTAACTCAGAATAAATGCTATTCATCATAGCTAACAAGTAAATAACTGAGAAATTACCCGACAAATCACACCCCAAACCTACATCTTACTAGTCCCAAGTTGGATCAATCTATAAGAAAAGTAATTAAAAGAATCTAATAAAACTAATCTATTTTCATAGGACTCACGATTGCGTTTACTACATGCAATAAGCCTTTAGACCCCTACGTTCCCCCTAGTGGATAAGTATAGTCTCTAGAAGGTTTTCAGCGAAGATACCCACAAACTTCCATTAATATGATTATCATTGTGAACATTTCATATAACTCAACCAATAATCACCCAACTAGCAACAATAAAATTATGAATAAATGCATACCCTAGTCAAATTTGAGAACCACAAATTTCTCAACAATATTTACAAATTAAGTTCTCAATTGAAACTTGTGTGTGGTATGTAAATGACCTTGCATGANAAAGATACCCACAAACTTCCATTAATATGATTATCATTGTGAACATTCCATATAACTCAACCAATAATCACCCAACTAGCAACAATAAAATTATGAATAAATGCATACCCTATTCAAATTTGAGAACCACAAATTTCTCAACAATAGTTACAAATTAAGTTCTCAATTGAAACTTGTGTGTGGTATGTAAATGACCTTGCATGATTAGAAAATTAATCCAAAACATGTGACCTCTCTACTTTCCACTGCTAACATCAAATCAATCATACGTTGTTATCTCAACAAGAAGTTCAATTTTGCATTGTTCTCTCAACAAGAAGTTCACTCAACAATAAGCCCACTCTGATTATACTAATTAATTCCCTTCATCTTTCCATATATGNTTCAAATCAATCATACGTTGTTATCTCAACAAGAAGTTCAATTTTGCGTTGTTCTCTCAACAAGAAGTTCACTCAACAATAAGCCCACTCTGATTATACTAATTAATTCCCTTCATCTTTCCATATATGAGTAGAATTATTATAACAAAGACCAAAGATATCTCCCATATGACTATGGCAATTAACGGAATATCAAAAGAAAGGGATTTAGCACAGTTTTGTGATCATAAATCAACCTAAAATATATCAAACAACCATCGTCATCTTCCTTGTCCCCACAAGTCATGTATTACTATCAACTCTTGAGATCAAATAAGTCCTTTTTCTAAGTTGGAATGGGGCCTTGGGTAAAAGGGTAAAGAAACGAAGGAATAGGAATTCAAAGAATTAACTCGAGAACGTTTTGCATATCCATATCTCTTGACATAACTCATATCTTCCTTTGAATCACAACTCAACCCTAGCCAAATTTTCAATCTCTCTTTTTTTTTTTTAATGTTCTTCATTTCACAAAGCACATATATTTTTCTCTTTCTCAGCGAGTCAAACACTTTCAATAACAAGTTGATTAATTTTGCCTTTTCTATTTTTCTTTCTTTGAATCTCAACGAAATATCTCCCTTTCATATGCAATATAATTACTTATTCTCGGGATAACCAAGGGTCAAAGATAAGATATTTTACAATCGGGGCTTGGTTATTATTTATGAGCAAACAAAGAAAAATCTAATAAATTGGCTCAAACATGGCTTCAAATGATCATAAAATTTCAAGAAATAAATTTAAGACTCAAATTATATCAAATATGACCTAAAATTGTATCTCAAGATTGTCAATTAACACACTTCTTATGCTAACAATTTAGAATCAAATAATCATTCTACATATCATCACTGACCAAAAAAAGTATAATGAAACTATTCAAACAATTACTAAATGAAATTCTTATTATTGAATAATTGTAAATATCTCTCCAAAAATGAAAGGAACTAAACTTACCAGGGACATCATATTATTCTCCACTATATGTATGAAGTTTCAACATAACATGTCATTCTCCTAACTCCTAGTGCAAGCATGGTCATACATGCACAAAGTATAAGTTTCAACTGTAAAGTTAATTCACAATATTGGAGTGTGATTAACCCTAATTAGTATGTAAATTAAAATAATTAAACAAGTAAATTTTGTAAGATAAAATAGTTAAAAACTGTAAATTAGGGTTAGTGCAGAAATCAGGGTTTCATGTATGTAATGCCTGAAATTTTAGGATTTTTTGTAGAAAGCAAGAAGAGCAATCTGTCAAAGTTATGAACAAGCAGGGGTGCAAATGTAATATCAACATAGAACATGCAAGAACACTGTGGAACTACCACCACATTCCAGCAAACCAGCACCGTCTGAACGGTGGTGGTGGGGTCCGGACGGTTATCTTAGGTGGTTCAAGGTTATCCTTCCACCAACAGCTTCTACTTTGCCTATAAATAGGCTTTTCAGCCTTCATTTTTGGATGGTTGAAGAGGGGGAGCTCCAAGGAGGATCCAATGAGAGCAAAAGAAAGAAAAATTCTAGAAGAGATTCAAGAATCCAAGGGGAGATCCTGTCGAACCTACTTTTCAACTAGAATTATGTTATTTCTACCTTTCTATTATGCCTTTCTACTTGGAGAGTTGAATTTCTACCACCTTTGTGTCTAAACTGATATTAAGGGTGGTTGTATTTTAATTATTTCTTGAGAAAGGAGTGTCAGTGTCTATATTTTATTTAGTATTGTAATGAAACTTACCTGCACTTCTTGCTTGTTTATAGCAATGGAGTGTGAGTTGTTTAATTATACCCTTTAGTGAGGGGTAAACATATGTATATTATTGGTTAAATTATTGAAATGCAGATGTTTAATTATGCTTTATTGATATATATACCTCTCTTAACTGATGGATAATTATATTTATAATATGCTCATAGTTATGAACATCGAGCAGTACTTAATATTCTATACCATACTATCTATTATTATGTACTTCAAGCATAATACAGTGATTTACATAATTGGGTGTTACATAAAAGTCGATTGATTGGTTATAGACGAGTTAAGTCTCAGCATAGCCAATGCTTTCAGTTCAATACATAGCCCAGAATTATGTTAACAGTGAATCATTAACCTGCTGATGGAATATCTAAAGTGTTCCATCTGAATGGCTTGACCTTCTGGTGCACTAAGGATGTTTAAATGTTGCATGGTATAAAGTTGTCAGATGAATAACCTAAGTGATACTCCTGAATGACTTGACCTTCTGGTTCACTAGGG